TGCAGGTAGCTGTCCAGCCTGGTGAGGGCGCGCAGCAGCTGCTGGTGCAGAGCTGGGGGCGGGGGGCGCGGTGAGCACCGGGCCTGGGGCGCCCTCCCGGCCCCGCGGCCCCGCCTCACCCCTCACCGTGGTCCTGAGCGGGCACCGGGCTTTTGATGAACGCGGAGAACTTGTGGAACACGTCGTTGCCCGCCGTGCTGGACTCCCTGTACCGCGGCGCCAGGCTCGGGAAGCTGTGGGCGTGGTGGGGAGGGGGATCGGGTCAGACCCTCACCCCGCCGCCCTGACCCCGCTCCAGAGGACCCCACGGTGCCCTCCCTGGGGTCCGTCCTGAGGTGCCCTCCCGGGGGCCCGTCCTGCCCCAGTCGGGCCCTCACTGGGGTGGCCCCAGCGTCTCCTCCAGAAACTCCTCGATGTGCAGCGTGTCCGTCTTGGCGTCGCCGTCATAGAGCAGGATGGGCAGCTGTGAGCCAGGGGCGAAGTCCTTCAGCACGTCCGGGGACCTGTGGGCACCGGGCAGGGAGCGAGGAGGCTGGCCCAAGGAGGGCGCCGGGCCGGGGAGGGCTCCCGGGGGCTGGGTCTCACCTGCGTGTGTCCACGGTGGTGAGCGTGAAGGGCACACCCTTCAGGAGCAGGATCATGAAGAGCCGCTGGCAGGAAGGGCAGTGCCCCACGCTCTCCCCGTCCTCGCTCGCCTGGGTGGGTGGAGCAGGGGGTGTCAGGACTGGGAGCAGACCCAGGAATCCTGCCACCAGGCTGGGTGGGACCCTGCCTACCACTGCCAATGGGACTGGAGCAGCGCCAGGGCTTCGGCTTGGATGGGCACAGCCTCTCCAAGTGTCTGGTGAGGGCTCTTGACTTGGGAGCTGGGGAGGAGCACAGAGCGGCTGGGAGCCCAGAGGCCTGGGGAGGGGTGGGACCCTGGAACTTTATCTTCACCGCCTGGGCAGAGGCCAGGCCCCTAGGCTCCAGGACCCAAAGGCTGACCTCAAGGGTAGGGTGGGCCAGCAAGCTGTTTTCTGAGTGATTCACCCGCCAGACTGGGCACCGTGGGCAGTACACTCACTCCCCCAGCTCCGACGGCCGGGACAGGCTGGGGCCTGGCAGTCCCAGCAAGCAAGCTGTTTTCTGAGTGATTCACCCGCCAGACTGGGCACCGTGCGCAGTACACTCACTCCCCCAGCTCCGACGGCCGGGACAGGCTGGGGCCTGGCAGTCCCAGCACCGACCTGAGAGCTGATGGGGGCTGCCTGGCACAGCCCCTCCTCTCCTGGCCCACAGACCCCATGCTCCACTCAGGCCTGTGCCGCTGCTGCCTGGTTGGCACCTCCCCTCCGAGGTGATTTTCCCCGGGAGGGCTGAGCTGGGCCCAGGAGCTCAGGCTGGGAGCAAGTCGAAGGCCACCCTGACTCCCTCTGGGTGTCACTCAGTGGGTCCTTCTTCCCCAGGCTGCCCCCACTTTCCTCAGCCTCTGTAGGTCTGCCTGAGTCCCCCAAGGCCCCAAAGGGGAAGGGGCTTAGACACTGCTGGGGAGTTCCACTCCTCTCAGCCTGCCCCAGAAAGCAGAGGACCCCCTCCCCTAGACAATCCCCCCAGCCCAGCCTGCTCAGCACCTTGACAAACAGCTGGAGCTTGGCGGTCTCGGCCATGGTGGGAGCTGAGGCGGTCAGGGCGCAGGGCATGGGGCGGGGACCTGGGGCGCTCCTTAAGTCTCCTGGGTGGCCCGCCCTCCCCGGCCAAGGGCCCGCCCCATGGAGCCACCTAGGTGAAGAGGGAGCTGCCCAGGGCACAGAGCCGGGTGCCTGTGCAAGGAGCCTCAGCCCGGGTGTCCGAGCATGAGGGTGTGACCAAGCATGGGGGTGTGACCGTGGGGAGAGCAGAGCTGAGGGCTGGCTGTGGGCGTGTGAGGCCAGCTCACACCAAAAGAAAGGCTGAGGCCCCAGTGCTGAGTGTGTGAGGGGAGCCTGGGTGGCAGTTGGAGACCCATCCATGGGGATGTGGGGACACAGGTGTGGGGGATGCCAGCCTGCGGGGGGGGCACCTGCGTCATGGTCCTCCCTGCAGTGGACACCCAGTTGTCAGGGTCCCCAGCCCAGAAAGCCATGGGGTGGGGGTGGGTAGGAGAAATGACGACCCTGGCATCAGCCTCAGTTTCCTCATCCGCACAAGGTATTACAAGGGTGGTAAGTCCCCCCTGCAAGAGACACCTCCTCCCACCGACTCTGTGAGGCAGGGCCCTCCACCGTCAGGGCGGAGCCCACATTCCAGGCGTGTCCTCGGCGCAGCGGGGAGACCAGCCTGGCTTTGGTGTTTTAACCCAGCCGTGCAGGGGCAGCCGTCTCCACCCACCACCCGTCCCTCCCACGCAGGCTCCGGGCAGGGTTCTTACCCTCTTCACCTTTCAAAACAAGTGCCAGGAGGTGGGTTGGAAGCCCCGGCCTGCTAACCCGCAGTCGGCCTGCGTGGAGGGCAAAGCCCAGCGCAGGTCAGGCGGGTGTGGGTGTGTGCCTGGCCACCCTGCAGCTCGCACCTGGTCCGTCTCTGTCAGGGTCACCCTTTGCAGCCCCCACCCACCTGGGCTTTGGCACCTGGGGGAGATGCTTCCTGGGGACCCAGGGCACCCTTGGAGGCCAGGCGCCACCCAGTGGCCACGAGGGAGATTGGCTGGCTGCCCTTGCCTCCCTCAGGCAGTGTGGTGCCAGCTGGCCCTGATGGCGGGTGGCCGAGGTGGCAATACTCCCTCCCACTCGCCTGCCCGCCTCCTCACCAGGCCTCAGTCCACGGCCGGGGGCTCCCGTGGCCGAGATCCAGGCCCCGAGTCTCTCCCGGCGGCCCACGCTTATCAACCCAGCCCGACCCCTTCCTGGACCCCACGGCAGCCGGGGCTCCTGGGACATGGGCCATGGCACGAGTCTGGGAAACTGGCTGTGTGGGGCTCCAACATCGTTTGGAGTCCTAAGTTCCTGCTGGAGCCTCGATTTCCCCTCCTTCCCACCTCCACCTCTATTCCAGGCTTCAGTGTTTTGCTCATCACGAGTAGGGTCAGGGGCTCCAGCGCTGGTTTCCTGCATGCCTGGCAGACGAACCGCAAGCCGCGGAGGCCCCTCCACACCTGCCCGTGTTCACCAGATGTCCCGTGTGTATTTTTATGCGTTTACAAAAGCACCCTTATGCATCCACAAGAAAAACGATGGAACAGACAAAGGATACAAACAGGTGTCAGAGAAAAGGAAACACAAAACACCGATAGCTGCGAAAACGTTTTGCCACACACCTTCCTCAGGAAACAAAGCACCAGACACGGTTGATCGTTGCAACTGGCAGAAGCGTGGTCGCCCCATACTAGGATGGGCCTTCTGCAGGACGGCCTCTGACAGTGGAAACACGTGCGGCTTCCTCTGTCCACCCACATGCACTCTGGATTTCCTACCACATTTTTATAGTAATTGTTTTAAAGAAGTGAAAACAGAAATGTACAGCCACCAGCCTTAACCAATCCCATGACCTACCAGGCCATGGGGTTATTCCTGCACCTCCCCGAAGGGCCCCACCTCCCCATCATCCACGGAGCAGCCTCTGGGGGCCCTTGTCCCCAGCTGAGGTCCCAGGGGAGGCTGGCCTGGACTCACTGGTGTTCGGAACTCCTGTTCCGGAGGCCACTCTCTGTGGGCCCCTTCCCAGCAATGTTTTCATGGCTGTGTTCTGAAGGGAGACATAGACATGTTGAGGGAAGGCTGGGGACCAGGGTGGTGTTGGGGTACGGGTGGGAAGCAGTGAGCAGACCTAGAGCCCGGATTGGTCCTGGTTTCCAAAGACCATCCTGCTAAAAGGGGCTTTGTGTCCCCTAAAATTCTTTTTTTTCTTTTTTCTTTTTGTCCTTTTTTTCGTGACCGGCAACGGGATCGCAACCCTCAGTGTCACGCCCACACTGCACTCAACCAGTGAGCGGACCGGTCACTATATGGGATCCGAACCCTCGGCGGGAGCGCCACCGCGCTCGCGACGCACTCTACCGAGTGCACCACCGCGCCAGCTCCCAAAATTCTTATGTTGGATCTTTACCCACAAGGTGATGGCATTAGGAGGTGGGGTTTTGTAGGTAATTAGGTGAAGGGGACCCCAGAGAGCTCCCTCGCCCCTCCCCCTTGTGAGGCTATGAGAGAAGGGTCATCCAGAAGAGACCCTCATGGAACCCGACGTGCCGGCAGCCTCCTCTCGGACTTCGGCCTCCAGGCCGCCGCGCTCGCGATGCACTCTACCGAGTGCACCACCGCGCCAGCTCCCAAAATTCTTATGTTGGATCTTTACCCACAAGGTGATGGCATTAGGAGGTGGGGTTTTGTAGGCAATTAGGTGAAGGGGACCCCAGAGAGCTCCCTCGCCCCTCCCCCTTGTGAGGCTATGAGAGAAGGGTCACCCAGAAGAGACCCTCATGGAACCCGACGTGCCGGCAGCCTCCTCTCGGACTTCGGCCTCCAGGTGCCGAGACGCACGCCTCTGCTGTTTGTAAGTCGCCCGGCACGTGTACTTCATATGGCAGCCCCAGACGGACTAGCCAGGCTCCTCAAGAAAGGGCTGATTCCAGGTGTGGGCGGGGGGAGTAAGGTCGAGCTCGAAAATGTGCAGGGGACAGGTCAAGAGGACACAGAAGCCAACTTGGATGGGCTCCCCGTGGCCAAATCTCAGGCTATTTGTGCGTAAAAAAGATGTTGGTAGAATCGTACACTTATGGATTGTTAAAATGCTAAATATTATGTATACTTAACAACAATAACAAATTTTTTAAAGGGCCAGCTCGTGGCTCACTTGGGAGAACGTGGTGGGGACGACACCAAGTCAAGGGTTAAGATCCCCTTACTGGTCATCTTTTAAAAAAACAAAAAAGAAAAAAAAATTTTTTTAAAGAGATGACAGTAATAAATGACTGTCATACTGATTTTTAAAATGCCCACAAGTCTATATTGATATGTTTTTAAAAGCAGAGGGGCTCTTGGTGAGAGAAAAATGCTAGCTAATAAATGCAGAAAATGAAAGAATTAGAAAATGGCCATTTTGCAGTCACCACCCCTGGGCAACAGGGTGTTAGGGAACAGGCTGTTCGTGTGGCTGCAGATCACCGCCCCCCAGGATTGCTTTCTCAGGTCTAAGGGAGAAAGGGACCTTCCAGTGGAAAGAGCTGCAGCCACGGCCTGACCAGGCGGTCACAGCACTGCCAGCCTCAGGGCAGACCAACACCACATGGTGGCCCGGCATCGTCCTCAGCATTTTCGCCAAAAATGTGCCACCTGCATCTGACCCAGAAGAAGTGATCAGATCCATCCAATTGTGGCCTGGACTTGTCAACCCTGTTCTCGTTGAGAAGCAAAAACAAAAAGGTGGACGTCAGCTTCAGAGGAGCCCACGGGGCAGGAAAAGGACCACAACAATTCCTGATTGCAGCCTAAATTTTAAAAAAAAAAGCTATAAAGGACACATCTGGGACACCCGGGAACCTTGGATAACAGTGCTGTGTCCTTGTTCACTCCAGGAGGTCGCTCTTGGGGGAAGGAGGCTGCAGGGCCTGGAGCCGAAGGGCCACGGGGACTGCTAGTCCCTCCCGGTGCACAGAGAGAGCGCGAGCGTGGCCAGGCCTCAGCGGCACGCGTCTGGGTGGAGGACGTGCAGGCGTGCACTGCAGTGCTCTTGCAACTTTTCCAACAGTTTGAGATGTTCCGAGTGACACGTTGCTGGGGATGTGTGTGTGTTCTGCTGAGTTATAAATCATCACAAACCAAGCAGCTTGAAATGACGTGCCCATGAATCGTCCGAACCTCCGCGGGGCAGGTGTCCAGGCAGGGCTTAGCTGGATCCCCTGCACAGGGCCTCACCGGGCGTCAGCTGGGGTTGCCTTCCTCCCTGGGACTTGGGGTCCTTTCCCTGGCGGGATTCAGCTCCTTGCAGTTGCAGGACTGAGGCCCCCAGCACTAGAGGCCACCGCAGAATCCTGCCATGGAGCGGCCCCCGGCCCTTCCAGTGGAGTGGAGGATCCTCTTAGTTCTTCACATGCTCGGTGCCCTCCTGGGGCTGCCCCCAGGGCCAGCATGACCCTCCATCCCCCCACCCAGTGACTGTGGCATCACCCTCTGGGCCCAGCCTGTCAGGGACCCAGCATACCCTGGCAGCCACAGCAAACATCTCACAGGAACCCAGATACATTGCCCAGCCCACCTCTAGTCACCCCAAACCTACAGGCCCACCAACACCCTCGCTTTCCCCATCCCCCCTGCCCCCCCGTGGTACCAGCCCTTACCTGGGTCTGCAGTCTGCCCTCCTCAGGGGTCTTCTGTGCCCCCCCCACCCCAGGTCCTTGAAACAGTCTGAAGTGGGAGTCTGACCTTGGCCAAGCTCACTGCGCATGAGCTCTGGGGATGCTTCATCCCAACAGTCCTGTCTCCCACCTCGAGCACACCGGACCCTGTCGCCCTGAACTTTGCAGCTCCCTGGATCCCCGCACCTCGCTGGGTCTCTGCCTGTGCGTGGCACTCCGTCTGGGGCACTCTTCCGTCAACGCGCTTCCACCCGGATCTGTCTCCATGTGGAGTCATCTCTCCTGGAAGCCCTCCCCACACCAATCCCCCACGAAAAGGAGACAGCCTAGAATGTGCTGTTACGGCCCTGCCTGGGCACTGGGCC